GTCTTTGCAACTTTACAGATCTTCTTTATGCACCAAGAGCTTGTAACACTCCAAAGAGAAAGGAAAAATTGAAATCGCATCATATGACCCCTTTAAGTCTATCTGGTGTTATTGAGAATGCTGCTTAAGCTTTTAAGGTATTGGCAACATATCCATTGGTCAACTGTTAAAAACAACAGAATTGTTACAGGTTATGCAGGTTTTGGCAACATATTTGATTGGTCATTGGTTAAGGGCAACATGCTTGTTGCTTAAGGCATGCTCAGAACGGAACCATACCGCCAATCCAACCTGTATGCTAATTGTCAATCATCTTTGACGACAGTGGTCCTGACAGAACTGCTGATGACGTCTGCAGTATGCAATGATAAACTCACACTGCTGCCGCATGAACACATTACACTGCATTTAGTTTAACTAGTGATACTGCTTAGAAATTGTTATTTTGCATTTTTAATCCAATTTTGGGTCTGATCAAATAAGTCGAGTGATGTAAAAATCACAGCTGACTTCACATCCGGTTCATTCATCACAGGAAATGGAAGGTTGCATTGTGGGATACAGCCTGTTAAATCTATGTTAATCTAGGTATTCCACACATAAAGCAAATGCACACACTGAGCAGAGTTTACGCATTGAATACTGCACATGAGTACAGTATGAACACTCAAAACTCTGACGCTGACGGATGGGAAAATAATAAACCTCCTTAATATGTGTTCAGGGATCTGTTAAAATAACTGAACAGTAAGAACAGTATTATGATAAGGATATTTATATTAGTGTCTACACCAACGAACGATGACGTTCTGTTTATTATAAGCGTGTGCTGCAGTTTTGTCGTCTGCAGATTCAAATGCTCTTTAAAGTAAAGTTTTATTATTTATCAGCTGGAAAAAAGTGACTGTAACGATATTGTTCCTCTGTGTCGTTATCATTATAGTTGTGGTGTAAACTAACTATTATTTTCACTCTCTGGTGCTCCTCATGTGGCGGTCAAAAACAAACGATTTGAAATTAATGTGCTATAGTTTAGTGTCATAATGTTTTATTTAATATTTTGTATTTTTAGGTGATTTTATGGTACCGAACTATATTTATGGTACAGTTATGATCTATTTATTAGCTGTTAACCACTTTTTGAGCAAAGACATGAAAATGTAATTTTCCACCATAAACAGTCATAAATCTTGACTGCTGTGGAGCTCAGACTTATGTTTGGTCATGCATTGTCATGGTTCAAATCTTACCTATCTGACGATCACAAATACAGTATGGAGTACCACAAAGCTCAGTACTAGCACCGTTGCTTTTCACACTTTACATGTTACCCTTGGGAGACAACATCAGGAAACATGGTGTTAGCTTTCACTGTTATGCTGATGATACTCAGCTCTATATTTCTTCGCGGCCCGACGAAATATAGCAATTCACAAAACTAACAGAATGCATAGCTGATATAAAAAAAAAACTGGATGACTAGTAATTTCCTAATGCTAAATTCAGAAAAAATAGAGGTGTTAATTATTGGACCAAAAACCTCTGTATGTAATAACCTAAAACACTGTCTAACACTTGATGGCTGCTGTCAATTCTTCGTCATCAGTCAGGAACCTAGGTGTGCTATTTGATAGCAATCTTTCCTTTGAAAACCATGTTTCTAGCATTTGTAAATCTGCATTTTTCCATCTTAAAAATATATCTAAATTATGATCTATGCTCTCAATGTCAAATGCAAAAATGTTAATTCATGCGTTCATGACCTCAAGGTTAGATTATTGTAACGCTTTATTGGGTGGTTGTTCTGCACGTTTAATAAACAAACTCCAGCTGGTCCAAAATGCAGCAGCTAGAGTTCTTACTAGAACCAGGAAGTATGACCAGGAATTTTTACACACATATTGCATAAAGCAAAATGGTATATCAAATCATTTTATATATTTTATAACATAATTAAGAACCATCCTTAAACAAAGTTGGGTATAAAAAAATCCTGAAACCTAAAAATTGATTGGTGATTTAAAAAAAAAAAATCCCATTGTTTTTGCCTTTTCATGTCTATTCTTGTCATTTTATTTTTAGAAAAACTGAGTCCTGGTGTCCTCTACAGAGGACATAGCATAACATATGAATAAAATATAATTTAAAAAAATTTTTTTTTCTTATGCTCTAAACAATGTAATGACATGAAAAAATACTAAATTCTCAAAGTTTTTTATTTCTGGTTCTCAGGAGGATATTAGCCCGGTTCTGTCAACTCTACACTGGCTCCCTATTAAACATTGTACAGATTTTAAAATCTTGCTAATTACTTATAAAGCCCTGAGTGGTTTAGCACCTCAGTATTTGAACGAGCTCTTGTTACATTATAGTCCTCCACGTCCGCTGCGTTCTCAAAACTCTGGCCATTTGATAATACCTAGAATATCAAAATCAACTGCGGGC